GCGAAACCCTGCTGGGCAGCTGCCCCTCCCCTGCCTGGGCCAGCGACTCTCCAGCTGGTCACCCGCAGGCCGTGGTCTGGGTGCGGGTGATGGGCCTGTTCGCTGCCGGGGGAGGCGGGGACGAGGCCAGTCCCTGCAGATCCCTGTGTCTCGGGGCTGCTATTTTTAAGGGCCTGAAAGGCGTCCTTTCTCTGGATACCCCTGCGCTTCACAATGCGGGTCTGTTCCCCGTGGGGATGTGATTTCATCTGGAGGAAATGTCTGGGGGGGGCGGGGAAGCGGGGGGGACAGAGGCCGCTTCCTGGTCTGGGGCCGCCGTGCACCATCTTGCTCTCCTCGCCCGCCCGCCCGGGGCACAGGGTCACTGCCCTCCAACAACCTCCGCGGGCGGCGGGCACTCAGCCTCCCTCTCCCAGCCCCAGGCCAGTGGCACTTCCAGGGCAGGCATGGCGCCAGCTTCGTGCCCCTGGCTGAGCCCCCAGCCCAGGCAAGTCTGAGTGGGAGGCCTGGAGTGGCCCCATCCACAAAGGCCCATCTCTGATGGGGACTCAGGCCCCGGGGTTAAGTGTGAGCCGCTCTGGGAGTTCCTCTTCCTGCAAATGCAAAGTCTTCTTAAAATGCACATGAGCTTCCCCTGCTTTACAAACTGCCGCCCCGTGGCCTGCAGGGGCGAGTCCAAGCCCCAGGCCCTGGCTAAGGGCCGCCTCACCCGCTGGCAGGCTGTGCAATGCCGGGCAGGTGCCTTGCCCTCTCTGAGTCCTGGAGCTGGAAAATACTCCCCAACCAGTAGGGACAGACCCCAGCACAGGTCCTGCCCTCAGCCAGCGGGTTCCTGGCTGGGGCGGTGCTCCAGCCCCTCTCACACGGCCGCCCCCTCACTTTCCGGGCTGCCCCCCCCAGCTTGCTGCTCCCTACACTCACCTCTTTGGAGGGTTCTGTGCTTTGTTTATCCCAGTTCCCCTGCCAGGGAAAACCCAACGCATCTTTCTAGGCGTCTTTCTAGACGCGCCAAGGGTCAGCTCCACTTCGAAACCCTCTCTGACAGCCCCCAGGCTAAACAGGCTGCCCTGTAGGGGGTCCCAGGACCCCTCACTCCAGTGCAGCCCTGGACTCACTGTCTTACAGGAAACTCGCCCATTCTTGCTGCCCATCCCTGGCCCAGCTCGGCCGAGAGCCCCGGGGGCCAGGGCCTTGCACGTCCTTCATCCTCACACCTGCTCTCGGGCCCTTCAGCGCAGCCTCCCTCCGCTGCCCCGCACCCCCCTCCTCGCCCTGACGCACCCCAAGGCCCCCTGAGGCACTCCCTTCCTGGCATAAGGGTCCCCCTTAGCTCACACCCTTGGCTCTTGGGAAACACGCCACTCAATGCCTCCCCAGCCTGCTCAGGGGGACCCCCTGCCACCCT